ACCCTTTCCAACCACATCATGCCCATGCTCACAACTAGGTGCTCATGGGCTGTGAACAGCTTCCCTGCAGCTCTTGGGATGCTCATTGGGATGAAGGCCCCCAGCATTTCTGGCTGCCATCAGCCATGCTGCACCATTGCAACTCTCAGGCAGTTGGCTTGGTGGAGAATCTAGGAGGAGCACTTTGGCCTGAGGAGAGCATCCCCAGATGACTTCGCTGTTACACTGCTTTGGAGACTACTGGAAGACCCAGTGGGGTTTGGTGTCTGCTGCTTCTGCCCAATATCCATCCCAAATGAATGATCTGGCAGCCGCTAACCCTGCCTGATGGAAGCTTGAGATAGGGATGCTATTTTCCAAATAGTGACTGAAGAACGATCAGCTGAAATGCTCACGTTTTTATCAGGTGTTCTTACTCTTAATCTGGAGGAGCAGTCGCTCAGTTGGGCTTCTGCTCTGGGCTTGGCCTCAGCTCTGGCAGAAGATAGTGGCTGGATTTTCAATGGTGGCTACAGGAGAAGTTTTTCTGTGATTTTATTGCAACACCACTGCTTTACCACTAGTTCTGCTCTTCCAAGACAGTAATCGTTCCAAGTTTTGTTGCCATAACGTTACATGCGTGGAAGTTGAGACATTTTGCTTCTGCATGGTTTTAATCAGCCTCGCTTGAAATGTCATATTTAAATGAGTAAGACTCGAGGAAATCTCATCCATAGGCTGTCAGCAGTCGCTACGCACAGAGCTTGGCACAAGGCACCTGGGACTACCTGAGATCCCTAATTGCCACCCATAAATATCAAAATATCAGGATGCGCATGGAAGGTGAATGCAAAGGATGGAAAGTAGTTTTACTCTGTGCTGTAGTATATGATTCACGCTTTTAAGAACAAGATTAAAAGTCTCTGTTAGATTCCAAACTATGATTTTATTTTCATTTACATCAAAGGATTTAAGAGCCTTCAAAAGGCAGCGTTTTAAAAATAACTTAAAACATACTGTCTGGCAACACGAGCCCTGCTCAGCACAGAAGCAGCCAGGATCTCCTCATATAAATCAAATAAGTGAAAAATCAGAATTAAAAAGATACCTTGTCCTGAATTTAACTCTGACAGCTTCTATCATATTGTTTCAGGAAAAAAGACTTCATGAAGCACGTGCCCTTGCAGCCAGGACTCAGCCCTGGTGATAAGCCCTATGTATCAGTGAAACCGTGTTCCACGAACACCCGTGCAAAGGTTCAGAGCCCTGATTTGAATTTTCGGGCTTGTTTGTGTTTCAAAAGCAAAGCCACTGAACTGCATCTTGAAAAACATACTCCAGCGCAGGCTTCCTCCAAACACAACCAAGGTTTGATCAAAAGGTTCTCAGGTCTGCGGCCCTTCTGACAAACCTGATGAATGTTTGCACTTACAAAGTAAACCCCAAACCAAGGGAATTTGCATGGGCTCGCCATGGAGATTTCTTTTTTCCAGCTCTTGCCAAAATCCCATCTCTGCCCTGGGACTTTGGCGGCTGGCGTTCTGCTATTTGTATTGATATACCTGCCAGCAGGCACAAAAAACAAATACCTACACCCAGACAAAAATATCTGACTGTGTTTGTAAAGCCCCAAACAGAAGCCACGTTGTGTTTCGGTTTGATGTCAATGCCTGTCCGTATGGATCAGGTCACGCGGTGTTCGCTTGTCCAAAACACGGAGATAATCCCTTCTGCACAGTGAAATACATTTTAATTACGGAGCAATAAATATGGTGTCTCTTTTTGCTGGTTGCATTTTCTATCAGTGGACAAAAGCTGACATTCGTTTCGCTGATAGCCTGATGTTCCCCCACCGCCGCTGCCGAATTTCCCTTGCCCAAGGAAATTGAAAGGATCAGAGCACATCTGATGTTCCATTAATTTAAAGCGGCTGCCAGGACTTGCATATTGTAGCAGCTTTAAAGTGATTGAATTTGGATTATTTCAAACTCCGCAAAGTCCTGCCTCGCCCGGCTGAGGCATATCGAGTGACAACATAAAATATGAGCCCGGCTGAGGGATATCTGCGAGCACACACGTTCTCCCTGCGCACGCAGCCCTGCAACAGGCGGATCGGAGGCGATGGAACACGCGGCGCTGGGACGGTTGCGGTCGCTCTGCGGCAGCAGCGCAGCGAGGTGGGGACACCTGGCGTCCAGCGCCGAGGGGACACGGGCCGGGGCTGTGCCAGGTGCAGCGCCTTTGGGACTGGCGGCCACGCGGCACCGTGCGTACCTTGTGAAGGGAATGTGGGAATTCAGCTCCAAAGGAAACGTCGGGGCTGCCAAGGCCCGATTAGTCATAAACCCGCAGCATTATCGCCATCCATCACTGCCCTGCTTTCAGTGACCATGCAGAAGGAGAGGCTGCCAGGTGTTGGGGCGGCTGTCAGAGCGCCGGGGCTCCCAAATGCAGGACAGCGCTCGGTGCGCTTTGGTCGAGCCCTGCCCGAAAAACCCGAAAAATCATCTGAATGAATCACAAAACATATGTTACGTTTTGCTGTAAGAGCCATGGAGTTTGTGCAGCGCTCCATTATGGGGACTGCTTGGCTTTTCATGCATTCCTAAATTACCATGTAATCTAAAACCTTGTTTTCAGCTGCTCTATATTGGAAAGTCCCTCGCAATAATCAAGATGATTACAGACTGGTGCGGAGAACAAAACGTGTTTGTGTTATTGCAAATACAAATGCAGTTTATCAGAAATTTTACCTTTTTGAGGGAAAAATAAAGATAATAATAAACTCTTTTTCCCTTGCTGGAAATATTTTAAGCATGGAATTAATTTTGGCTGCTCTGCAACTTAAAAGCACATGGATACTCGGTGTAAAAATATGCTCCTTTCCTGTAGGGACTTGACTCTAATTGGTGTGCCAAAACTATCTCACAGAGATTTCATTGTCTTATCTACTTACATCATCTTAATGCGATTTTATTTTACTTTGTCAAAGTCATATTAATGTAAATGTGTTCTTGATAGCAAACAGAGTTCTTTTTTATGCTAAACGGGATTCAGCTGCCTCCAATAAAACAGCTTGCAATCCATTAGGCTATAACTGTAATATAGTTATTTTGTTTCCCAAATAAAGACTGTGTCAGAAAGCTGTATGAGGATTTTTGTCTTGTTTTTCCACAATAATTGCTTGGGTGGGGTCACATTCTGATCTTTAAATGAATAGTATCGCTTGGAACAAACACTTCATATATCTTTTATCTTCCCCTCGCAATACAGTTCTGAGTTTTCTTTGAAAATGCAAAGCTACTTTTCCAGATAAGTCATCAAAATGTTTCCAAAGTATTTTAACTGCCAGATTAACTATATCTTGAATACAAAGATAGATGGCTTACATTCTTTATGCAGAAATCCTGCCAATGCATAGCAACTAGCTACAAATTAATTTCTTTTGCAACAGAGAAGGAAAAAAAAAAAAAAACCTGCTTTGCTATGCAAAGCTCAAAAAGGTAAATAGATATTTAAAAAGAAAATAAGGTTACTCATTCTGAAAGGGTAATCTGTAAGCAAAGAACAGAGGATTAAACATACACTTGCTCTCTTTACAGAGTCTGTGTTCCAGCCTTCTCTTAATGTATTCAGCTAATTAAGGATTGCAGTGACCTTGTGGCAGATTTTGAAATCTAGGATATTTTTTTTATTTTATTTTTTTAATGCCGCCTCCCCCACAGAGCTTAATACAATCTGTTTCAGGTCAAAGTCTGTTTATGTCAGCAATGTTCGTACTACACAACTAAAATGTTTTAATGCATTTATCAACTGGAAAATATTGCAAACATTTCATTTCCTTTGATACAGACACAAAAAACCCTCTGCCTTCATTGCAAATTCTTGTTCGTATGAATCACTCTGAGTAATATTTGCTTTAACTTTCGTGTGGTTCTACAAACAGCCTTTATATGGCTGGACTTCAAAGCTGGTAGAAATAAAGGTTAGAAATGTGATAGGAGCAATCTATTATTAGGCATGAAACATTAAACCACTTTTAGTTATAAGCCTTAAAACCTGAATAATCTGGGTTTGTAACTTGCTGCATATTTATTGTGCTTGTAGTTACTTCGGTCATGTAGTGTGGAGGGACTGTTTTGAACAGAAATATTTTCCATAGGAGTACGAACCACAATTGGGTTTAATTTTTCCTAATATTTAATTTAGAGAAACTGCAGTATTATAACAGACTTCTCAGATGTCAGAGCTGAAATAGCCTGCTCGCTGTTTCTTGCAGTGTAAAATTAATCTCTTGCAGCACGCTGACCCGAAAGGCAGGTTTTAGGAAAATAGGCATGGGGTGGGGGAAGGGGGATGGGAAGAAAGATAAAATCTCGTTCTTCAAATAGCAGGGAGGAAAAACATAACACAGAGGAATGTCACAGCCTGCCACTGACATCAAATGACAAAAAATGACTCAAATGCATGTGTGTGTGAGAAGTTTCTTTGGCCAAAAAAAAAAAAACCAACAACCACCGATGAGCTTTCTCTGTAGCTGCCTACCCAGCTGGAATGTTAATTGTTAAAATCCACGCTGTGGCATTTCTTGTAAGCAAGAGTTGTGGCCGATGCACATCATGTTTGCCTCTTCCCTCCCCTTTGTATATTTGCAGCACAAGGAACGTAGTGCTGCTCTGAAGGGAGTCAGATGGCGCAGGCAGATTTCTATAGGTTTGGGGAACTTAAAGTGCTCAGCTCACAGAAGTGGGTAGGAACAAAATTCCACATCGGTAACATTTTGTTCTTGATTACATTTGTGTACTAATACTGTAGATTAAAAATAAGTCCAACAGTGAAAAACATGGAACAGTTCAAGCCAAACAGGTCAGCCAGAAATAAACTATCATTTGAAATTCAGAATGTAAAATCCTCATGAGCCTGGGAAAACACAAGGGCCTGGGCCTGGCCCTGCCAGAGTCGGTGGGAATTTTACTGTCAGTAACATGAGCATCATTCTTTTTCTGTGTTGGTTTCTCCAGGTCCTGCAGTGCTCATTGCAGCACCCGCTGGTATTGGAGGTGCCCTGTGCAGCAGTAGTGGGGCATTCCCACAGCCTGGAAACAAGCTGCAGCTCTCATCACCACCAACATCTCAGCCACGTGAGAAACAGGCCCAAGACATCATGCAAAGTGAGTGGTTGATATTAAGTGTGTGCACAGGGAAAGCAGTGTACCCAAGCTCCCTCATTTTCCCATCAGGGCCACAGGTTTTTGAAGGATTTGGTGGCTTCCTTCACAGCTGTTTGTGGGGTGGTCCATGGGGGAAGCAAGGGCAAGAGCCTGGGCATCACCTGTGCTGGGAGCAAAGGAGAGGACCCTGCACCTGTAGAGCGATGGACCACGGGCCCCCATGGTAACAGCCTCTGGAGGGACCACAACAGTTACCTACTGTGCAGGGCTGGCAATGGTGCACTCAGAGGCCATTTGCTATTTATATTTTGGTCAGTGACAGGACCGGGCTACACCTACATATCTCATTCATGTAAAAAAAGCATCAACAACACTGCAGTCTCCACCTTTCCTTCTCCCATGCTTCTCCAGTACTCCTGGTCCTGAGCCAGCCTGGTTTAATAGGTTACACTGCAAACACTGGGACCGTGGTACTTTGCAAGGTTGCACATTCACAGGAAGCATATGTGCACAAAGCCGTAACGGTTGCAGACTAAGGAGCAACAGCCCTGGCAAGCAACTGTGAGAGATGTTGATATTGCTGGGGAAGGTGAAGACGTAATTGAAACCGTTTATTTTGGGGGCACGCAGGACTAAACGAGGAGATAGTTTCTGAGCAACAAATATTGGTAATTCGCTTGTCCTGGTCTTACAGACTTTTAATTTGCTCTACAAATTTGGTTAGTTGGAGAACATGTAAACACCAAGAACAGTACGTGGCGATCCATTAAACATTAACTTACTGTAGACTTAAAAAAAAAAAAACGCAAAAAAACTCTCTTATGATATTAAAACCATAAGGGGAAGAGATGCCAGGCTGGTGAATGAAGCCAGCTGACTGCTGAGAAGAGGCTATGGTTTTGCTCTATAGCTTTGCCGTTTTCCGTAATCTGAGTCACTGAGATATTTTTAGGCACAGTAACAACTTCCATGGTCAAGTAATTTTTCACTTGAATTTTCCTCAAATAATGCTGTCCTCCTGGCCTCCAAATTCCTTTATTCAGCAAGGCAACATGCTGCCCTCCACGCCCCGAGGAAGAAGGGGATCCATGGAGGGCTCTGATGATTTGGAACACATGGTGGAATGAGATAGATCTCAGCATCAGATTGGCAGGATATTTCCCTTTCTTCAAAGGTCTCCAAACCTAGCAAGCTTTTCTTTGATATCCTTCCAAATGGATTTATCAGCATTGGGGCATACATTTGTTTAGATTGTTCCTGTAGGGTGGGACTTTCAAAGGAGGAAAAGAGTGCCAAGTGCCAAATTCTCACCAAGTTCTCCATAAAGATTTCCTTAGTTTCCTTTGAAAATCCAAGCTGTGCTCCCCATCACTCTGTGCATCTCTGCTGGAAAGCTGCCCATGGTACTCTATGCAGTGTGGGCATAATGGATACAGGAATTGTGACATTTGAAAACACAGGAGGAAGAGCTGGCTCTAGAAAGAGGAAATGCATGAAAACGTAGAGGTTGGATAGGAAACAAGGAGGGAAGTGGAGACCAAATTCCCTGGACCCATCGTGTTTCTTTTTTTATCCTCCTTCTGTTTATTATTTTTCTCGTGTTTTCTGCTCTCAGTGCCTCCCTAGTGCATTTTCTCTTCTGTCATTAAGCCTATGCTATCTTTTAGAACCACCATTGTGATACTCACGATGCCATAAAAACAACAAAAAAGGGAACAGAGGCAGAAGATAGCAGGAACTAATCCACTGGGATAGTTGGTTGTTTTTTTTAGTGACCTACAGTATGAGGCCAGAGCATCAAGCCACAAAGATGTCTGCTAGTTGACAGGCCTGATTCTGCCTGATTCTACTGTTGTTTTACTTTGATTTCACTGTCCATACAGTGCAGCTGAGCATGGCCATACTCCTGGCACTTCTGAACATGGTACTGCAGGTGTGCTTCTTCCCCTTTGGAGACACTACCTGAGAGTGGGGTATTTCCCAGATGCGTCTAAAGGAAGAGGTGAGTGTACATTGTGTATTGAGAGTATGGAGAGAATCTCATCTCCAGAGCAAACTTGAGTCATGCTCTGGGTTTGAGGTGCATTGGACCAGGTGGAGGTGACATGATGGTGCCAGGCATAAGTCTAGTCCTCTTCTGCACCCCTACAGAGAAAATGATGCCCACTGTGTTAGGGGGAGGCTGCAGGGAGGTTAGAGATTTGGCAACTGGCCATTCTGTGTACTTTTCATAAAGTGGTAGCTAAGGCTTCATTAAATTTAATGTACTACCTCAGAAGAAAGAAAGAGATGTATAGGGGTCTGTATGGAAACATCTGGACTAGTAGGTACCAAATAACACACACTGATAGCCAACCAAGGCTGCCAGAGCTACTTGTCCTCCTGCCCTGGGGAAAGGGCCTGCTGAGGGCTGCCTGGAATTTTTATTTTGTGGCTAAGGAGATACAGAGGCGACTTTGGATATGTTGTAGGTGTGTTAATGATTTGTGAGCTACAGCGGGATTCATGGGTACTCCAGTTTGTTCACAGACTGAGAAGATCCATGTTCTTTAACAGCACATTTCCAGTCGTGCATCTTGCTGCCTTTTAAAACAGTTGGTACCTAGAGATTGCTGAAAGCCATCGTGTGCCTTAAATCTGCTTCGTCCTGACTGCCTCTTGGTTTCCAGAGAGAATTTAAGATGTTGATTTTGTCCCCACATCCCCATGGGTTGGTCTTGGCAAATAAAAGTAGTTTCAGGTTGGCCTTTGTCATGTGCTCCAAGGATTAGACGTTGACTCCCTGATTCAGAGGGGCTGGGCAGAGACCTGCCTGGTGCTTTTGAGAGGGGAGGGGGAATGCTGGGGCAGCAGCGCAGGGGCCTGCGTTCCTCATGGAGAGCAAGGGGGCAAAAGGGGCACCATGGGGGCAGCTCTAAGAGAGTCCCCAGCTTTCCACCAGGGATGCTGGGCAGGGCCACATGTGGCCTGGGAGGTCCTCAGAACTTGGCACAGGATTTGTGTTTTGGAAGGCACTTTGTTAGGCACCCCTCAGGTGTAAGATCTTGGAAATCAGTTTTCTCTTGATTTATTTCAAACATGCAACTACCAAGAATAATAGACAGGGAGATAATGTGTTTTGAAGTTCTACTGAAACACGCAAGTCCGAAAGGCCCTTTGCCACGTGAAATCAAATCAGCATTGCAAGTCTCTCTGAACATGGCATGCTGGCACTGGTCTCCAGATTGCATGTAGCGCATTTGCGGTTTGATGGTCTTCATTCAAAATGTTGGCTGAAGAATTTTTATCTTCAGATTTATTTTTACAGTTTATGGTCGAAAGATTTTAGTTCTGGGCAGTCCTTCCCATGGCTTTTAGCAGTGACACTTGCCATTGTGTTTCACATAATTAAACAGCCAACAATACTTAATGAAGAAATAAATAACATCAATAAAGTAGTAAATAATTATATGCAGGCAAACACCAAAGACATTATCCATCAGGCAACAGCTGTGAGCATTAGTTTTGATTAATCAATAATGTTATACAATAGGAGGAGGAATGCTGGCCAGACCTCTGGGGGAATCACCTACGCTTTTCTGAACAGCGAGCTTTGTTATTTTAAGCAGAACTTTCAGCAGAATCCTTAATTAAATGTAACAGTCAAGAGCTCTTCCATCAGCAATATACCCCACTTTTCAAAGCACACCGAGCAGCAGAAGTTTAACCAAGACCGAATTGAGGCCTTGCCTGGTAGCTGAGAGAGATCTGTTGATGGGCTTGTGTCAGGGGAGATGCTCATGGCACCGCTGTGATGACGGAATGCGCTGCCTGGCGGAGAGTGCTGCGTGGCTCCGGGCGAGCTGCCCAGCAGAGGAGCACCTCTACTGCCTGTGAGAATGAGTGGGTGCTACTGCTGCTTCCTAAAGGCAGGGCCTTCCTCCCCTGGGCACAGCCGGCCACTACGGAGTCCTCATCCTAGGTTGGGTGCATGCTGAGAGCAAGCATGCATTCAATATTTTCTTTCAAAATGTAAATAGGGGTGAAATTTTGCACCCAAGCTGCTCCATTGGAACTAAGAATGGATGGGTTCCTTCTGAAGTCAGAAAATCATAGAATCATAAAAGTCTGGTTCATCTTTGGCCAGGCCTACTGCACCACACTTGCAGGGGAAATGGATGTCCTTCTGGGCACATTCCTCCTCCCAAGCCTCCAGCACCGAGCCCATCAGTTCTACAGCACTGCTGGCTCAGCACACAGCACCGAGAGTTTTGCTTAGAGGTTCCAATTCCACCAGTCAGTACTGTGCCTTTTTTTCCTCCCTTTAAACAAATGAAGAGTTTAAAAAAAGGCAAACCTTTCAGAAAGACTGATCAAGGCATTAGATCTCAGCACAGATAACAGGCACAAGATTTTATCTCCCTTAACCCATAAAAAAGAAAAAGAAGAGAAGGGACAGGAAGGATTTCTGGCGTGTCAGAGGCACATTTCCTGAGCCCGTGCTCACATCTTGTTGGCCTTTTCCTTATGAAGCCGATCGCAGATTTCTTCTTGGCATCTGAATAAACAACAGGACCGCACTGCTCCCACTGTAAATCAAGCAGTGGCAATACCTTCCACCAGCAGAAAGGCGAGCAGGAACAAATGAGAACAAGGCAAAGGGCTTTGGCTGGTTTGGAAGCAGTGAAAGAACCCAGTGTGCGAACCCACCTCTGAAGGGTTACTGTAATTCTGTGCAATGGCAGAAGCACCTACAGATTTCCTGAGCATGAGGCACGTGGAGCAGCTGAGCTAGGAGCGGCACGTTTATGAGAGGTGAGGAGAGGGGAAGCCCTCAGCTCTTGCTTGAGAAACGGAGGTACACAGAAGACAACAGAGAAAGCATCTGCTCCACTGATATACCAAAACACTTCACAAACTTAAATCTTGGAAAACCAAATCAGAGGGAGGAGCAGGAAAATCTTTTTTTTTTTCACGATAATTGCTGATAGCAAAACAAAACCCAAAGGGCTTCCTTACCCACTTCTAGGCGTGCAGGCACTAATAAACTTCTGTGATAACATTAATATTCCTGATAGTCTCTGTGGGCTCATTCTCCCTACTAGAATCTCATTACAGCCTCTGAACCTGAAGTAAATTTGAGGGCGTTTAGAAGGTGTAGCCTTTAAATGGTGGTGTTGCTGCCATTCACAGCACATCTCATTGCAGCTCGTGATGGTTTCTGAGGAGTCCAACAGCAGGGGCTCAGAAGCCTGAGCACAGGTCAGAGCCCACAGTTCAGAGCTCTGTGCTGCACACTGCAAGAACAGCAGCTCTGGGCTCCTCAAGGTCCCCAAGACCCAGCTGTGCCAACTAGCCACAGGTCCCCTGAGAACGCACTGGATTTGCTGTAAGGGGATTAATAAACTTGGTTGTTCTGGAAAAACTAGCAATGTTAGCATGAATACCCTACATGTCCCTTGTCAAAGCATCTGTATTTGTGGTAGTGCTGGCTACAGTTCTGGGTCTGTCTTCTTCAATAAACATGAATCCAGTTTGATCCCATACAAATGATGTAAGTGAAATGAAGGGAAAAGTGCTCGTGGTTCCCCTTAAAGACCAGAAAAGATAAGATATGATTAGGGATATCCTCCTTCACCAGTGAAATTTATTGGGCTTACTTGTCTCAGTGTTGTGCAGAGCCTGTTTAGTTGAACACCCCCCACAGTACCTCTTGCACATCCAGAGGCACAGGTCACACAGATACATTTCTCTGTGGACAGCAGGGCTGTTGGGGATGGATCTAATGTATTTCCTGCAAGATAAAACCTCAGCTCCATGGTTTTGAATAACGAATACAGTGTAGGTAGCCGACCAAATCCATGGCATTTCCTTTCCCTGTAAGACAGGAAAGCATATCAATATGCCAAAGGTATTTTTTGTCTTTGTTTCTTTTTTCCCAAGCTTTTGGTTAAATTCTTTCATAGTTCTCCCCCACTGGCTTCAGGGACAGTATTTATGGCAGGTACTAATTTGTTCAAAGAGAGATACTTAAAAAACACACTGAAAGTGAAAGCTGTAAGATATGGATCTCTCTCCAGAAAAGCAATGCATTAATAACAGATAATGCATACTGACCTGACTTCAAAACAAATTCTTTTTCCTATAGGTCGAACATTAAGTGCCTTATTTTTTTTTCTTAATTGGAAGAAAGCCTGTGCAGGCTTTTTTTACAAGCAGACAAAATTTGCATCTCATGAATGGCATCAGATCAGAAGAGAAGGAGGTTGCACTCAAGTAACTCTGCAGTCCTGTGACAGCCCTCTGCAGCTCCCCCAGGGCCATAACACCACTGCGCATCGCTGCCAAAGACTGCACTTCCATTCTGGGCATGGAGGGCAGAAGTTTTTGGAGGAATGCAATTTTCAGAGCCCTTTCTATCCAAAAGCTAGATAAAGCACCTCTCAAAACCATCACTCAAATGTGAACATACACATTTTCCCGTGAATTTTCAGTAGAACTCTTTTCTGATGATTTCCAAAATAAGTTCGATTTTGCACAGTACCTTTTCGGTATGTAGCATTGCCTTCTCGGTATTACAGCCAAGCTTCCTTTTAAAGGCATATGCATGAGATTATGCAATCCTAGTATTCTGGATACCCAGAGCAATTAAAATAAATCAGAGTAGGTATAATGAAGATGAGCCAAAGCATCTGTTTCTCAAGAGGATTTGAAAAAAAAAAAGATCTCATCCCCCGAGGCCTGGATCCATCACAGTTAGACCTCGGGGATGCTTGTACTTCAACAATGCATGCAGGGCTCACTTGAGCAGAGAAGGGAGGAGCAGGAGGTAAAGACTCTGGTATGGCAGATAGCTGCGCTCTTGGGAAGCCATGGTTGAATAACCCAGCATGTTATCTGCGAGGCTGCTGGGCACTGCGCAAAGCAAAGATGTCCTGGAAGTAACTTCACTATCAAAGGAGGGCAGGAAGATGTGAGCCTGAGGTATCCCTCACCTGGGTTGGGCCGTGGTCTCCCTGCCCAGCTCCCCCAGCACTGGCGGCTGCCCGTCCGTTGCAGCGTGGCAATTCATTAAAACCAAAGGCAGAGGACACGCCGTGCTGGCGGAGGCATGCTGAGTGGAAGGAGGTCAGCTCACGTATTGAGATCGATGTAGGTCTGGCACACTGAGAGCCACAACTTGCTTGGGCTGCTGTGGGCAAACGCAGGCTGGCATTCTCTGGACAGTATTTACAACGGCAGCTCCCCCATGTGAGGACGTGTGTGTGTATAGGCTGTTTTCATTGAAAGCAGCCGAGGTAAATGATCTGACAGGAGATGGATGTGGGATGTGTGCGCATGACCCGTGCAGCATTATGAAGCACAGCACATCTGAAGCCCTTGCACACAACATTCCTTTCCGAGCTTTATGATTAAAAAATAAACAGTTGGGTTGCACAGAGGACCGTTTCCACTGGAGAAATGCTACTCAGGATAAAGGCAGCTTTGCAGGCAGATGGACTGGCACCTTGCTGCAGGACCGCAGTGAGGAAGGGCAACTGGGATGAGCACCGAGGTGTCCAGCCCTGGGACGGATGAGCTCTGCGGCCCGGCTGTGCCTCCATTACACAGGCAGAAGGCTGCCACAAGCCAGGGTCCATCAGATCAGAGAGAGTGCTCTGTCACCGCGCTCCTCAGGCTGCGAGCAGAGTGATGGCACTGTGGTGACGCAGCCCGCTTGTGTGTGTGTGCATTACACATGTGTAATGTCATTAGGGTGATAACATGGCTGTTTCTGTTAGCTCAGTGGTATTAATAAGGTACAACAGAGTTATTTGACACCGTTTGCAATCCCACGTGCATTTTCATATTGCCTTCAGATGTAATTCAGGGACTTGATTTGTATGAGTTATGGCTCTGATGTCACTTGTATTCTTGCTGTAATAGGTCCCTCCGGAGCCAAATTCATCAGACTCAATTAATGACATCTGAGAGGTGCATCTCGGCCAGCAGCTGGGCACGCACCTCAGCACTGCACCAGGCACCCCAGCCCTGCTCTGTGCAGAGCTGGCCCTGAGCAGCCCCACTGCTCACTGTGCCCACAGCCGCTGCAAAGCCCGGCAGGGAGAGCCCCGAGTGGCAAACACTGAGCTGGAATACAGCAAATGCTGCTGCCTGCCCTGGCCCCTGTGCATGCAAACATGAATTTTGAGATTGGATCACAGTTGGGTTCCGTTCCAAGTATGAAAACGGATTTAGAAGACTTCGGTTCAAAATGCTTCACATCTCAAAGCATTCTTAGCCACAAGTATTTTTAATTGTAAGGCACGAAAATGAAGTTATTTAATTGAATTGATGCTTTAAATGCTTTGGGGTTCGACTCTGTTGATTAGGAGCATTCTTATTTTGGTTTTTATGTATTCATTTCCAGCCTCTGCTCTGTCCGATCCCGATCCCGTTTTCTCTGTAACCCACGATGTGCTGCCATGGGTGCAGCATTACGGCTGCTCACTGACCCTGCGAGCCGGGTGCCTTCATCCCTCTCCCCACTGAAAACAGCCCTTATGAGAAGCTTCAGTACAAGGTATGTTCCAAGGGGAGAGCAGAAACACGAAGGCATTTTACACATTTCTTTTGGCTGGAGAAAAGTTACAAAATATGCATATGAAGTTACCCAGTGCCCGCGGGACAAAATCCAACTTTTGATTATATGCGGAATTTCAACTTCTGCTATAAACAAGGCGAGGATTTAGTTTATTTCGGCTCGGGGAGGGGCGAAACTCGCGTAGAGCCGATGGCAGAGCGGTGAGGGAGGCGGTGCCGCCCCGCAGTGTGCGACCGCCGCGGTAGCGCCGCAACGTCCCGGCGCGTGGCTGTCAGCCGCGGTCTGGGGCAGGAGCGGAGGGATTGGGGTGCGAGATGGAAACTGCCGCCGGCGTGCGTGCTGTGGGAAGGAGCGGCCCTACCCACACAGATAGCGCAGACGAACAAACAGAAGCTCGCGCGTGCCCACCACACCGGCGCCCCGCGGGTCCCGCACCGCACACCCGTGTGGCCCCGCGGTGCCGCCCCGCCCCGCCCCGCACTTGTTGCTGCCCCGCGCGGTGCTGACGTCACCGCTGCCGTCATTACGGGGCACTGGATTATTTATTTATTTACCCATTCATTTATTCACCCCACTTATTTATTTATTTATTTATTTGCGTCTTACTCCCCCCCATCCCTCCCGTCCCCTCGGCGTTTTGCGGCGTTGAGGCCGGGGCGGCTCCGAACCCCCCGCGATGTTCCCCGCTTTTTTGCCGCGTCCCCTCCCGGCGCGGGAGCATCACCGCGCGGGTGTTTATATAACCGCCCCCCGCCGCCGCCCTCCCGGGACCCCGCGCATCCCGCGCCGGGGGGCTGGGGGGGAGCTGGGCGGCGGGAGGGAGAGCGCACAGCCCGGTCCCGCACCCCGCGCCCGGAGCGGGCCGCCCCGCCGGGCCGAGCAGCGCCCCTCGCGCCGCAGGAAATGGGCTTTATATTAGACATATACGCGCAGGTCCTGTCAGATCCGCAGCGCTCCCGCCCGTCCTTTCGGGCCCCCAAAAATCGGGGGACGCCGCCGTCGCCCCTCTCTCCGCGCAGCCGCCCCTCCGCCGCCCCCCCGCGCCTCGCCGCCGCCCCCCCGCATTTTTGTCGGCGCGGAGCCGGGCGGCGGGGGCCGGGCGGCGCGGGGC